CTCAGGACCCTCCTGTCCCCCACCTGCTGCACTGTGTCCAGGGAACAGCCCAGGACAGAGCTGGACTTCCTGATGACCTTGTCCAAATTATTGTTTTCGATTACAAAATACTGCCCAAGTTGCTCGAAGCCCCAAGCAAATCTCTAGCTTGTAAAAACGTCCGTAGTCTGTGTTGATGCTGCCGTTTCTCTAATGTGGTTTTCCGCTGTGAATTACACACAGGATAAATCCCAAACTGCAAAATCTGTTTCCCCCGCAGCTCCTTTCATCGCCCAAAGGCTTTAGTGCTGATGTGGAGCCGAGCTGGTGCTGCACGGAGGAGGCTGCATGTGCCAATTGTGTGTCCCAAGGCAGGACACAGAGTCTTGAAAATCGCATTAGTCCTAAATGTTGTTCTCCGCGCGCTTTGTTCAGACGCGTTTGGAATTAAAATGATTCCACAAAAAGTATTTTCAAGAGCATGTATTTTAATTTGATACATATGTATATAGACTGAGTCCACACTCATTGTTTAAATATCATTGCTTATTCAGAATCAGAAGCAATAAGGTCAGTCTTTGGCTTTTACCGTATGAACCCCCTCGGACTCTGAGGGGCACAGGTACTGGCCTTCGGGGCAGATAGCAATCTTGCTTCTCAGGAAGAAGTTCCTGGGTCTGAATCCTGGTCGGAACAGGACCTTTCTGAGTGGAGTTTGAATGTTCTCCCCTTGTCTGCATAGGTTTCCTCCGGGTGCTCCTGATTCCCCTACCACTAAAAACATGCGCATTAGGTATGAATGTAATGAGTGAGTGAATGGAGGGTGTTGGTTGGAGGCGTTGATGCGTTAGTGTGTTCGCCGTCTCGCTTCCATCATCACCGGGTATGGAGGGATTGCAACAATATATCTGAACTCTGAACATTTGTAAAGTGCTTTGGGTGACCGGTCTGTAAAATGCGCTATATAAATAAACATTACTTGCTTACTTACTGAGGACACTGAGGAGCACAGGAACTGACTTCTGCTCGTGGCTTTTCTCTTATTTTTTTGAGCTTGTTGAGTTGCTTTGTGTATGAACTGTGGTCCCTGCCTTTCTTTTGGAAACATAGACATTACAAACATCAAGTGTGGTTGTGTCAAATTTGATCATGCTCCTAAAGGGATGGGCAATATATCGATATTTACGACATATCAAGATATTCTGAATTTTGACATATACAGTATATCGATATGGTGTTTATATTTCACTTTTGCTGCTTTGCTCGTCTCCCTTCTCCGTGCAGAGCTTGCCCCTGCCTCCTTGCGTTTGCCCCCCCTCTCCACCGGTCTGTCTCATTCACGGCATGGCGCTTGCTCAGTTAGGAGCATAAACTTTTCTAAAACGCGGTGTGTAGAATATGACAGAAGTGTAGGTTGTGTAGCAACGTCTGTTGCTTTTCCTACAGTGGTGGACATGGCACTTTTTGTCGTCATCGAACATGGTTTTATACCAGAGACTGTAAACTTTATAGGCAGCTGTGTTTTTCTCCGATCAAAAGTCTTCAACATTTGTTTGTATTACTTATATTTAGTTTAACACATTTTTTCAAAGCAGGATTTTTGAAACAAACAGTGATACATCAACCAGCGACGAGCACAGTCCACCTCGTCTCTTTGAATAGAAAAAAAGGATTTCAGCAATTTTGACTACAGAAATGATCAAAACTGGTCGAAATCTTGCAGAAAATACATTAAAAGTATAGAACAGTGGAAAACAATTATTGAAATAGAATAATTATTTCTTTCAATGACGGCAGAGGAGACCTGACTGCACGTCCTTGTTGTAAATATGTTTGTATCTCAGCTTTTTCACATACAAAAGTGAAACCGGGTGAATTACCCCCAAAGCAGCCAATTAACCCACTTTTCTTATGGGCTAATACTTATTGAAATTGGAACTACTTAAGACAATGTGGAACTGACTCAATTTTGTCAAACGTATAAAGGGTATGTATATATTTTCTGTATTTATAATCCAAATTCTGGAAGGATTATGAGGCAATAGTGGCTCTGTTCGTCGAGCAGAAAAACGGGAGGATCAGGGATGAACTGGTGCTTGTCACGTGGTTGCATGAAGAAAAAGGGAACCCAAAATGCAGGACTGAAAATCAAATGTAATTTAATAAAAATAAAAATCCAGAGAGACAAAGGCACAAAAATCCAGAACTGAAAAACAAGACAAGACAAACTTGGTTGAGACAATGGACGGACAACAAGTGGGGAAAAGCACAGGGTATATACACACACACACACACACACACATACACACACAGGAGACACAGGTGGATCACATTAGGGCGGGGCTAACAATCAACAGGACACACAGGAATCAGGAAAACTCAAAATACAAGAGAACTAATAAAAGTAAATAAAACCAGGTTAAAATAATCCAAAAAGTCCACACCATGACAGTGCTAAGATGATTGGGTGGCAGCTCTAATTGCCTTGCCCCAACTCCTACCCAGAAATTGACTAAACAGGGGATGAAAATTAATGAATGAATTCTGGAAGTATTAATAGATTTTATGAAATTGTATGAAAAGAAGTTAGGTGCTATGGCTTCATAATCCAAAGTGATAAGAGCTACTGCAGACTGTGAACCTGTATTGAATCATACCCTATTGTGTTATCAAAGTTTTCTCATTTCATATCTTCTTTGTCATGCGGCGATCTCCATCTCTTTTCCAGCTGGCTTTTGTGCAGTAAAATTGATTGTTCTTTTGTTCGCTGCGTTGATGGATCACAGCCTCGCAGCATTTGGTTTTATTCAGTCATCCAGTTTCCTAAATCTGTTTTTATAACCCCTTAAACTGACCAGTCATTACTCAGAACTGGTGCTCTGAGGTGGCACAGTGGCTGTGAAGGCAAAGGCATGTTTTAATGTTGTGTTTCTGTCATTTACATGGAGTTGTGTTTTGATTCAGGGAAACCATCCTAAAACAGGTGGTTATCCAGTGTCAGTGTGCCCCTGTCGTTTTGTTGTGCCCTCAACATACAGATACATACAACATACAGATACATACAACATACAGATACATACAACATACAGATACATACAACAAACAGATACATACAACATACAGATACATACAACATACAGATACATACAACAAACAGATACATACAACATACAGATACATACAACATACAAATACATACAACATACAGATACATACAGATACATACAACATACAGATACATACAACATACAGATACATACAACATACAGATACATACAACATACAGATACATACAACAGATACATACAACATACAGATACATACAACATACAGATACATACAACAAACAGATACATACAACATACAGATACATACAACATACAGATACATACAACATACAGATACATACAACATACAGATACATACAACAAACAGATACATACAACAAACAGATACATACAACATACAGATACATACAGATACATACAGATACATACAACATACAGATACATACAACATACAGATACATACAACATACAGATACATACAACAAACAGATACATACAACATACAGATACATACAACATACAGATACATACAACATACAGATACATACAACATACAGATACATACAACAAACAGATACATACAACATACAGATACATACAACATACAGATACATACAACATACAGATACATACAACATACAGATACATACAGATACATACAACATACAGATACATACAACAAACAGATACATACAACATACAGATACATACAACAAACAGATACATACAACATACAGATACATACAACATACAGATACATACAACAAACAGATACATACAACATACAGATACATACAACAAACAGATACATACAACATACAGATACATACAACATACAGATACATACAACATACAGATACATACAACAAACAGATACATACAACATACAGATACATACAACATACAGATACATACAACATACAGATACATACAACAAACAGATACATACAACATACAGATACATACAACATACAGATACATACAACATACAGATACATACAACAAACAGATACATACAACATACAGATACATACAACATACAGATACATACAACAAACAGATACATACAACATACAGATACATACAACATACAGATACATACAACATACAGATACATACAGATACATACAACAAACAGATACATACAACAAACAGATACATACAACATACAGATACATACAACATACAGATACATACAACATACAGATACATACAACATACAGATACATACAACATACAGATACATACAACAAACAGATACATACAACAAACAGATACATACAACATACAGATACATACAACATACAGATACATACAACAAACAGATACATACAACATACAGATACATACAACAAACAGATACATACAACATACAGATACATACAACATACAGATACATACAACATACAGATACATACAACATACAGATACATACAACATACAGATACATACAACATACAGTCAAACATACAGACTTTAAACAATTCTAATACATTCTTTAGCTATTAATTAGCTCACAATGCAATTAAGGTCAAAGTTCTAAGTATAAGTTCAGTTTAGTGCAGGCACAACTGTTGAAATAAGGCTGTTAAATTAGGTGGTCATGAGGTGGTGGGCTTGGTCAATGTCAGCATAGATGGAGTTACAATAATCAAGCCTGGAAGTGGTAAAAGCATACATTCCACAGACCCACACTGAGACGGAAATGTAAGATTGAACTTTAAGATAATAAACAGATACATTATTTTCTTAAAACTGTTTTTCATCACATTTAAAATGGCTGTCTAAAATAATTCCTATAGATTCCTAGCGCAGGGGAGTGTATAAACTGCATTGTTTTTAGGTAATTTCTGTTTAGACTGTTTTTTATTCTCACAATGACACATATTGTACCAATGTCTTTTGCACAGCACTAACTCCAGTAACTTTTTGAATGGATGTCGTGTGTTGCAGGCTAGCCAGCTGGGAGTGTACCGCGCCTTTGTGGACAACTACGAGTTGGCAGTGGAGACGGCAGAGAAGTGTTGCCAAGCCAACGCACAGTTCTCTGAGATATCTGAGGTAAAGATATCTCTCAGGCAAATAAAGTGGAACCATCACTCACTCACTATTGTCCAACTATCCACTGCGGAAGTCAAGGCAAAAGGTACACTTCGGCATTTCATGGGGGAAAAAAAATGGACACAATCAGTCCTTTTGATTTACAAAGAACTGTTTTATAGATTCTGGAACGTATGACAATAAATGGTGTGAACCTTTTACATCAAACATAGTCTTGATGGGGTTTTTCCAGGCCATATCCTGCACCAAACAGGAATGAGGCTGGTCTGTTCCATGTGGCATTATTCGCTAGCTGAATACAAGAACAGAAGGCACCTGATAAGTTTTTTATTAGAGGGTTATATCTGAATTTTTTAAAGACACATTTCAAAATAAAAGTAAAAAACGACTAATATCAACATGTGTAGGATTACCATGTGTCTTTTAGTAAGTTAGTAAGTAAGTTAGTAAGTTTTTATTTATATACCGCCTTTTCACTGCAGATCTGAGTCTCAAAGCGGTTTACAATTGTTAATTATGGGCATTTGTCTCTCACTCCACACAGAGATGGGAGCGCGGTCGCCATCACAGGAGGCGCATGACAGAACTATTGTACATATTTTTAGTGGTAGGGGAAACCGGAGTACCCGGAGGAAACCTACGCAGACACGGGGAGAACATGCAAACTCCACTCAGAAAGGCCCTGGTCCGACCGGGATTCGAACCCAGGACCTTCTTGCTGAGAGGCGAGAGTGCTATCCACTCAGCCACCGTGCCGCCTTTTATTACGAACTTTTATTTCCTCAATGAGAGTGAATGAAGCAAGTAGCCCTTATTGGGCTTCACCACGCCACTGTACACCTTGCCCTATATGCCTTATCAAGTTTTATTCACAAAAAGAGAGCCTCTGGTGGCTTACATTCCATTTTCAAAGTTATTAGAATTTTATTTTATGTTATTTCCACGTTATAATTTAAAATACAGAGGTAAATAGACTTTAGAACAATATTTATTTATTTTAAATTAAAGTTTGAAAGTAATCTGAGTTATTTTCTTTGCACAACTCCAATCTTAAAATGTTCTTGCATGTGTCCACCACAGAATTTGAAGGTGAGGAGCCCAAAAGATGGAAAAGATACAACAGCAAAGAACTCCCTAGAAGGTTTGTTTACCTCGCTGTAGTCATGGGTTTGTGTTTTAATGCAGAATAATTCTCAGTGCTGTCATAAACTCGCGCTTGGAATTCTTTGGGAAATTGACATGAAAACTTGAATTTGATTATGTTTCGTACATTCTCTTCTATGTAACCAGGGTTTTTTACATATTTCATTTGCACCCCCAGACAAAGTATCTTCAGGCACATTATTCATCCAACTAAACATGGATTTGTTTTTCTCATTGCAGCCTTGTTGTATAAGCCTGTGGACAGAGTGACTCGCAGTACACTCGTGCTCCATGTAAGTCATTATGAACACATAATTACATCTTCCTTTTTTTCATTCATGATGATTTTTTTATGTAAAATGTGCTGTGACCCTGTGCTTCTGACCCCTATATTATTTAATAATGATTCACTGTCAGTAATTTTACCATTATGCAGCGTGCTTGGACCAGGTTAGCCTCCAGATAATATAAAACAAATGTAAATGCAACAAGAAGAATATTATTGTGTGAAAGTGTATATTGTTGTTTGTTAACATGACAACAATTATAATCTTTGTCCAATAGGATTTGTTAAAGCACACTCCAGCGAGTCACCCCGATCACCCGCTGCTACAAGACGCTCTGCGGATCTCACAGAACTTCCTGTCGAGTATCAACGAAGAGTCTGCTCCTCGAAGGCAGTCCATGATGGTCCGCAAGGGAGAGGTCAGTCACCAAATATGTGTTACATTTATTTATTTATTATTATAAGAAGGTCTAATGTGAGCTGTTGCTGATTAATTGCTCAAATGTTCTAATGCTGGAGTGGTCCATGACTCCAGTGTAGTCTTTAAACAATGCAATGTTGTGTTACACTATTTGTTTGTCCTTTGTTTTTGGTATTTGGTATACCTTCTATTATCTTTTGTTTTAGTCTATGAATAATAAAAGGGATCTCAATTTACAATTTGAGTGCAGAGGGAATGCATAGTATTCATACATCTCAAAGTGCTGAACAAAACAAGACACAAAACCATTAAAAGGCATTAAAATCATGATCACCACACATTAAAAAGAGTGAAAATTAAGATAAAATCCCTCAGTTGTATGCACATCAAAATTAACTGTTTTTAACCTGGATTTAAACATTGCCAGGGAAGAAACCTGTCTCACATTTTCAGGAAGATTGTATTTCAGATTTATGCAGCTAAAATCAGGAACAGACTTTGTCTACCACCATAATGTCAGGTTGGTTCGCCATTAAGTCCCACAGGATCCTCACACGCTCATTCTCCACCACCTTTGGAGGAGTTTCCCACTTAGACCTTGGGGTTTCCAGCCCATACTCTCCACAGATGTTTCTGTACACTATGCCAGCCACTTGGTTATGGCGTTCCATGTAGGCCTTCCCTGCAGCATCTTGCACCCTGCAGTTATGTGTTGGATCGTCTCAGGTGCCTCTTTGCACAACCGACACCTTGGGTCTTGTCTGGTGTGGTATATCTGGGCCTCTATCGCTCTGGTGCTCAGTGCCTGTTCCTGTGCAGCCATGATGAGTGCCTCTGTCCTGTAGGCCAGCCCTTTCTAGCCATTGGTAGGACTTCTTGAGATCAGCCACTTCTGTTATGCTCCGGTGGTACATGCCGTGTAGGGGCTTGTTCTCCCATGATGGGCTCTCCTCCAGCACCTCCTCATCTCGCCACTGCCTGAGACATTCACTGAGTACGTCATCCGTTTTGGCCTTCTCCATGATGTAGTTATGGAGTTTGGATGTTTGGTCCTGGACAGTGGCTCTCACACTCACTAGTCCTCGGCCTCCTTCTTTACGGCTTACGTACAGTCTCAGGGTGCTGGATTTGGGATGGAACCCGCCATGCATGGTAAGGAGCTTTCGAGTTTTAACATCCGTGGCCTGAATCTCTTCCTTTGGCCACCTGATTATTCCTGCAGGGTATCTGATCACTGGCAGGGCGTAGCTGTTAATTGCCCGGGCCTTGTTCTTGCCATTGAGCCGGCTTCTTAGGACCTGCCTTACTCGCTGGAGGTATTTGGCAGTTGCCACTTTCCTCGTCGCCTGTTCGAGGTTGCCATTTGCCTGTGGTATACCGAGATACTTGTAACTGTCCTCAACGTCTGCTATTGTTCCCTCTGGGAGTGAGATCCCTTCTCTGTGGACATCCTTGCCTCTCCGAGTCACCATCCTGCTACATTTCTCGAGTCCGAATGACGTCCCGATGTCATGGCTGTAGATCCTGGTTGTTTGGATCAGAGAGTCGATGTCTCTCTCGCTCTTGGCGTACAGCTTGATGTCATCCATGTAGAGGAGGTGACTGATCTTTGCTCCGTTCCTGAGGCGATTTCCATAGCCAGTCTGGTCAATTATTTGGCTTAGAGGGTTGAGGCCTATGCAGAACAGTAGTGGGGACAGAGCATCTCCTTGGTAGATACCACATTTGATGCTTGTATATATATAAATATCAAGACTACCGTGGACTCAATACCTGCAGGAGGATCAGTGAGGGGCTGGTGCTCTGTGTACTGGGTGCAGCTCTGACTGCCACCCCCCCAACCCAGAAATGGACTAAGGGGATCTAGCTGCGAGACATAGTCTCTCCAGCGTGTCCTGTGTGTACTCAACTGGTTCCTCTCGATGTGGAGGACCCACACTCATAGTCACACCCCCGCCCCTAGGTCTCTCCCTTCCCCAGAGATGATTTGATGCACATGAATGGTCGCTGCTTGACTGATAGCTTGTGTGACACTGCCATACATAATGTGTTGTAATGAGCCACCAGCCTGCTTGACTGGCACATTTTCACTTAATTATTCATAAATGGATGGTGGGTGGACATCTCTCACTGGCTCCTCCTTTAGCGCACACGGTGGCATTACCGCAAACTACCCATGAACACACAATTTCAGGATATTTTTCTCCTCCTGTTTTCTTTTAACATAGTCCATCTCTTCATTCCCAGATGCCAAAGCCCTTCCCACTCTGTCCACTCCAGGCATCAAATATTTATAATGGTTTTATGAAGCATACAAATCAATAGAGCTCATTATTTTAAGCCCTAATATCACTGGACAATCTGCCTGCAGGGCGTGCTACGTACAGTATCTCTGTTGTGGTCAATGTGTACCACAATGAAGGATATTAATGCTGTTACAAATTATTATTTATCTATTTTAGGGCTGTCAAACGATTAACATTTTTAATTGAGTTAATTACAGCTTAAAAATTAATTAATCGTAATTAATCACATTTCTAACCAACGGCAAAATTATGCCATATTTTTCTGCACATGGTTGTTTAAAAGGAAAAAATAAATGACGACGTAGTGTACATATGTAGTGTATTTGTTTATTCTAACAATAAATCCACATAAAACAGCATTAACATTATTCACATTTTGTCTTTCTGTCGAAGACAGTGTCTTTTCTAAGTTGTATTAAAACCCGTAATTTAATTGAAAAGCTGAGCTGAATCAATGAGATTCAGCTGTGTGTGAATTCAGAACATAAAAAGTGCTGAGTAGAAACTTTGCGTGGCGCTCGTTCTCCTAGGCCACGCCTCCTCTAGGCCACGCCTCCTCTAGCGTCTGCGGCGCATGTAAACAACAGCAGCATGGCAGGAGATGGTGGCTATACCTGCTCTGGCTGTAACTGCAGACACAGCAGTAAAACAGCCCAAACAACACAAAAGTGAGGAGGAGAAGAGGGAACTAAAGAGAAAAAGTGATCAAAGAAGAAATCAAGCCCTGGTGAATCTAGCTAGCTTACATTGTATCCTCTGGAGAGACCTGCAAGAGTGGGACCGCCTCAAACTAACTTTGGACGTGAAACTAGCGGTAATCTTTCAGTTATTGTACTGTATATTTTATTAGCAGTGCGTTGCTCATCTCATCAGTGATTGCTGTACAGCTTATAAGAAGTTGTGCTAATGCTAACTAATGCCTACTGCTCTGTCGCCATGTTGTCTTTTGTATCAGGGTCGGGGGTGGCAGTCAGTGCTGCACCCAACTTACATAGCACCAGCCCCTCACTGATCCTCCTGCAGGTGGAGAGTCCACCGTACACAGCATAGCCTGGATCTCTCTGCAGGGGCTTCAGGCAAAGCAGGGTTAAGTGTCTTGCCCATGAACACAACAACAGCAGACATCAGTGGGTGTCACCGATGGTGTGGTGTGCTTGAACTCACGACCTTCTGGCTCAAAGGCCAATGCTCTAACAACTGAACCACTGTCACCCCTTACATTTTACCATCACTTACTTTAGTGTCCATTGTTATACAGAATATGGGCCTAAAGGGAAAATGTATCTCTAGATTTAGGCCCACTTTAACCGGGCTTCAGGTTGTGCTTTTGACCACAGCCTTAGCCTGTAGTTTTAGTCCAGCGTTCAGAGTTCCACAGTTTAACCTCCCGAAAGAAGCTGGATTGTCCAAAAGATGTTCTGAGCTTTGGGAGCAAACAGTCACTGCCTGAGGATCTGGTGGAGGTTCTGAGAGCAGACCCACGTTTCCGCATGAGCCCCGAGAACATCTTACATTTTAGTATAATATTTATGCATTGGACCTTTGATAAAAGTGTGACATAAGCCTAGTATTCATAAAGATAAAACAATTTTTTAAAGACTATTAGAATGCTTGCTCATCTAAAAAAAAAAAAAAAATGTATTTATTTATTTATTTATTTGGGCATTTAGAAATAATAATGTGAAGGAGAAAAAAAATAAAAAATAGCCCAAAAGGGAGTTGGCAGAAGCTGAAACAGCTGATCTGGGCCTACCCCCTATTGCCAATCAAATGCATAAAGCCTAGCGTACATCGAACTGATTATATCCGTCGCATACGAGTTGCTGCCCCGCACACATCGACAATCTGAGGAAAACGGGCAACTCCCAGTATCAGACCAGTCTCGGGAATAACAGCGCGTACATCGACAGCAACTGGCCTCAACTACAGTGTGTTTTCTGACATAAACTGTTGCGGGCTCGCAACACACGCAATACACACACGTTGTCGGAGCGGCGCATGGAGCGCGCACATCGGGTCATATCTCCGAAACTGAGGACAACTAGTTGCCGAAAAGTAGAACACGGGCAACTGACTGAAACTGGAGACCGACTGTTCATCTACAGTTGTAAGAGCGCGCACATCGACCGATTTCGGCAACTGATCATCTCCATCATCTCCTCTCAGTCGCCAAAAGCCGCCTTGCAACTAGTTGTCCCCAGTTTCTCTGTCGATGTACGCTAGGCTTTACACTTACACATACATACCTTGATATATACATAATTCACATACGTACATTAATATAATACACATTTATCCATACACATATATATACATACACACACATATATACACATAGACATACATATACCCACATGTACATATACATACATACACACACATATATACACATAGACATACATATACCCACATGTACATATACATACATATAGATACACATACGTACATATCTACATATTATTAATTATGAATATTATTATGTATTATTTGATATTATTTTTAAATATTACTATTTTTATTATTATGGTACTAAGTTTCTTTTTGTTCAATGTATTTTTCCAGAGCATTTATTTTGAAGGTTTTTTTAAATTGTTGAATAGAGATAGAGCCTCATCCAGGCCATTCCAAAGCTGAACCCCCCTCACAGATATACAGTGACCCTTAATATTAGTTCTTACATTTGGTTTTTGGA